TCATAATTTAATTTTCACCAAAATTATTAAAATTATCATTTTTCTGCTAAATTAATTTTCATCACAATTAAACAGCTCAATATTAATAAATTATTTTCACTATCGTTAAAAATATTGTAATGTCAACCTCACTTCTTTAATATTGACAGTTAGATTGTGTTTTTTTTTTTTTTGTTATTTATTTTAATTTTAGCAGTTTTCACAGTCAATTGAATGCGACAAGGATAGTTTGAGTTCGCCAAGAATAATTTGCGTGCGACAAGTAAACTTGTCGCACTCAAATAACAGTTTTATTTATGGAAAAACTCACGCGTAATTTTAAAATGGGCAAACGGCTCTTTTTCAAACGAAACTGCGAGCGTCAAGATACTACTTTTCCCGCATGAGTAATACAAATTTTTTTTTTTACATCAATATTTTTTTATACTTAAAAGTTTAATAACGCGCATGAAGGTTTTTATAATTACTATTTAACAGTTGTAAATTGTTAATTAAATGCAATAGTACAAAATAATTTATAGACGGATTTTGTGATAATGATAAATAATAATAATGATTAACAATACAATACCAAATAAATAAGTTTAAGTACTTAAATAAAAATTTAAACTTTTTTTTTACACAAAAAATTTCTATTTTTTTTTTTTTAACCACCAAAATTTTTTATCATTAAAGTATTTATTTCGGATGACACTGAAGTTGACAGACATTAAAAATTTTTTTAGAATTTTATAGCAATTTTGGAAGCATTTTTTTTGTTGTAATTGATTTGTTATTAAAATTTTAAAAATTAACAGCTGACGGCTAACTTCAGCAATGAAAATTAAATTAGCCGACATTGGAAAATTTTTATAATTTTTTATAATGAAAAAATTATTATAAAAAAATTAAAAGAAAAAATTTCACATGTAGAAATTTTGAAAAATTACCAGTGGAATTTTTTTTAAGTATTTTTTTACTTGTAATTTAATTTTTTTAATGAAGAAATTATTATGAAAACATTTAAATAAAAAAATTTCATGATACTAAAGTTAGCCGACGTTTTTAATTTTTTAATAATTAAATTAGAACAAAAAAATATTTTTTTAAAATTGCACTTACAGTTTTTCAAGTTTTTAACAATTGACAATTTTTTTTTTGTAGTCATTTTTTCAATAAAAAATTTTTTTTTAATTTTTAAAAGTCGGCTCACTTAATTTTCATAAAATTTCACATATAGAAATTTTGAAAAATTACCTGTGGAATTTTTTTTCTATTTTTTTACTTATAATTTAATTTTTTTAATGACAAAATTATAAAAAATTTCACATGTAGAAATTTTGAAAAATTACCCGTGGAATTTTTTTGAAGTATTTTTTAACTTGTAATTTAATTAATAAAAAAAAATCAAAAATTGTTGAACGTCAGCTAATTTTAGTATCATACTTCAGTATCATTTATTTTGGTTGTAATTATTTTATAAGTAGGAGTTGAGTATATTGAGAGGATGTCTTTTCCAGAGAGCGTATTCACGCCGAAAGATATAGACGAGGATGGAGAAATGGACGATGCAGAACGTGAATTGGAGGCATTCAAACGTTTCTGCCTGCAGTCAGTACCACCGCCAAGAAAAGAAAAGGTTAAGCTTAATATCAAGGACATTGTTCTTAAGAAAAAATCGTCATCTTCATCCTCATCTTCTTCATCATCATCTTCGTCGTCGTCATCATCTTCATCGTCATCAACTTCTTCAGCAGCGGCCGCGGCTATAATTGCTGCTAATTAATTATTTTTTATTTGTTATCATTCATTAATTTTTTTTTATCGGTAAAACAAATACTGCCATATCAGTAAAATATTTTGTTAAATTGAAACAAAAATTTGAATGAAGTTAAATTAGATTGCTTCTTTGTGGTAAGCAATTGATAATTAATTATTAATATTTTATACATGGTATAAAATAAATTGAGTCGTTAATGACTTATTAAATTTAATGGTCAATAATAAGTCGATTATATTTAAATTAATAAATATTTCATATTGAATTTGATATGCATGGAGACTGAAGAAGTTTAAATAAATTTATTATGAGACTTTGCACGTGTCAATATTTATTTATTTTAAATAAATATTAATTAAATAAGACACGTTGTGAGAGAGATCAAGACAAGCTGGAGAAGCTTATACGTCCGTACTCCAAAATGATCTAAATAAATAATTAAGATCTTAATTGAAGTTATTTCATAAATAAATTAATGAAAAAACTTAAAAAAAAAAATATTTAAAAAAAAATGACCGACAATTAAGTCACAAGGCAAGCATTTTGTACTACGAGCTTTAGATTTAATAATTGTATATGTATTGTATGTATAGTTAATTGAAATAATTGTAAGTAAAGGTATAATTGTTCTATCAAATAATAATGATGATGATAATAAATTGTTTTTGATAAACAATAATTACCTCAACAAAATTTGGTGATTTAGTATCGTAAGAGTTAGTTTTTTTTTTTTTCTTGTAATTTTTACACGCCAACTTTTTTACGCAACTAAATCACTGGAAAGTAGAAATTAAATATAAATAATTATTATTATAAATTTTAAGGTCTATAATAATTAAGTAAAAAAAAAAAAAAAATTAATAATTTTTTTGCTGTTTTTTTAATTAAATAAAAGTTATTATAAAAAAATATAATGGCTACTAATTGTTTAATTAATATTTATATTAAGTATTTAATTAATCTTTGATTATTGTAATTGTTTTATATTAATAATTCATCTGTGGAACGTGAGTAATTGAAATAAATTTAAAGTTGGATGGATTGTCGCAACTAAGACATGAGGTGAAGATAAAAAATTTAATTCAATTTATATTCATCGTCATCTAGGATACGTGAGGGTAGATTTTTATTTTATAGGTGTATATAATTATTTATTCACAATACATATGTCAAGTGTGTGTATGTTTTTATGCATATTTTATTTGTGTACATATGTGGACGAGGCATAACATGGATTGGCGCCAGATTGGCGCATCCAATATATTTTCTAGTCTCGTGAACTCTAAGTTTATTATTTTATTTTATTATTAAGGTAAGGAAATTTCATAATATGTTATAAATATAATTTTTTTTTTATTTTAGTCGAGAAAATAGATAGCAAGGATGAAGATACTTAGAAGAAGTAATTTTAATCTTTAACACTTGAACATAAGTATAAATGATAATTACAAGTGTAATGTACAATTATACTATCAGTATAATTTCCTGCTGGTTTTTGAATGGTACCTTCCCGTCAAAACGCTCGAAATTTATTATTTTCAGTAAAAAAATTTTTTTTTTTCTCATTATCTGATTATATTTTCATTTTTTAATTTTATTTTTAATAAATAAAAAATTTATAAAATTAAATTCTCCAAAATTATCACTTTTTTTATGTTGACATGTTAATTTCTTAAAAAATTTTTTTTTTAAATAAAAAATAAGATGAAATTTTTTTTTTTTTTAAATTAAGAATATATAACTGAAAAAAAAAAAAATTTGTTAAATTTAGGGAAAATTTTTTTTTTATTTTTCATTAACATTGAGATATACACCAGTATATTTGTGTGTATATATGATTGGATATGTTCCAGAAGCAGTAAACCAGAAAGTAAAGTACGGTGAGATGAAAGGAAAAATTATCGGTCAGTATACAAGACACGAGAATTTACAACGGCGACGGATTTTAGTGTCGTTTAAATTATTTATTCAAGTCTGCTGCAAATTTTCCACAACACTACAATGTTTACAATCACTTTATTTACTTGTTTATAATAATCACTTGCGAGTATTTTTACCAAACAAGTTAAATTTAAACAAGTGAACCAGAAAAATATAATTAAATTAACTTTAAGTTTAAGTATCAAAATTAAACCACAGTATTAATTTTTTTTTAATTAAAAAATTGTCATAAATGCATCCATCTATCAATTTTTTTGATTTTTGTAATAAGTAAATTTTTATGAAAAAATTTGAATAAAAAAATTCTACACTTGAAAATTAAAAAAAATTACAAGTGCAAATTTTTTATAAATATTTGTTTTTTATAATAAAAATTGTCAGATGTTTGCTAATTTAATTTTTTTTTAGAATCAACAGTTTTAAGACATAATAAATTTATAAATGTTTTTAATTTTTTTCATTAAAACCAAAAAAGTATTTATAAAAAATTGCACTTTTTTAAATGTGGAATTTTCATTTTTTTGTAACAATTTTTTTGATGAAAAAAAATAAAAATTAAGTTAGCCGACATCTAAAAATTTTTAGAATTTTTTTTATTGAAAAATTTATTACAAGAAAGTTCAATTTTTAAAGAATATTATTTAGTTTTAATTCAATAATTAAAAATTACTCAAAAAATTAAAAATTTCGGCTAATTTCGGTAACATTGAAAAAAATCCTAACTTGAATGAAGAAAAAAATTTTTGAACCAAGAAAATAATAATTTTGAAAAGTTTCATTGTCTTGAATTAATTAAGACAATAAATTTTTGAATCAAGTAATTTTTTATTGTGTAATTTTATTTTAATAATTTATGAAACAAATGATTTAGACATTACAAAAGTGGTGATACCCATCCACATGAATAATGAAATAGAATCATTGTAAATTCCTGGCCAGCTTAAAATACTATTAATTGGCCACAGTGTACCTTTAGGTAAAACAATAACTGGCTCATTTCTCCAGAAATAAAGCAAAACTGCCACCGCAATTCCATTAAATAATTTAGCGAAATAAATTAAAAATATCTGAATTTTATTTCTAGTAGACACGCGGGCCATCGTACCATCAGCGTAATTTTTTTTTAATAATGTGTGCCGGCGTTGAACTCTGGTGTATTTTGCAAACTCGTCCACCATCGATATGCTTGCCATTTCTTGCTCTAATTGTTGCATTTCATTTTTAATTGCCGCTTCGCTTGGACTTTCTGCATACATCCATGATATTATGGACTTTATTAATACCGGAACTGTTTGTGCGAACAGGCAGATTCCGGTTGATATAATTAATAAATTGTTCATTTTTTTAACTGACCTGCAACAAATAAAATTATTTTAGTTAATTCAATCTATTAATTTAAATGATACTTAATTTAATAGACATCTAAAAAATTCTTAGACTTTTATAATAATTAAATTATTAAAAAAAAATTATAAGTGCTAATTTTAAAAAATATATTTTTTGCAATACTTGATTTTTTATAAAAATTTCAAGAATTTTTAGATTTTTGCTAATTTTAATCTCATTAAATTTAATAATAAATTAAAAATAAATACACATCTAGTCTTGTAAGCTAACAATTACATTTTTTAATATTTATAAATAAAAATAATTTAAAATATTTACCAGAAAAAAACTTATTTCGAGTAAAAATTAAATAAATAACGCTTAATGTTTTGTATTTACATGTCGTGTTTATTTTGACGTTTTTAGGTTATAATAACCTAAACATGACTTACAGGTTAAACGTTCAGTATATATTTTTTTTAATCGATTAGTTCAATAATTATATAAAACTGGTTTTAAATATTAAATTACTGATTTAAAAAATTTAGAGCAAATTTGAAGAATAAAATTTTATTAATAAAAAAGTTTAAATAAGACTTTGATTTCTGTGGAATTAATATGAATTGCGTAGTAACGGGTAATTTCCATCAGTTGAAATAAAATTTAATTTTTTAGGTATCTAAAGAATGAAAATTAAATTAGCCGACATTCGAAAATTTTGATAATTTATTTAATTGATAAATAATTAAAAAAAAATTTTAATGTGGAATTTTTTTAAAAATAGTTTTTTCGTTCTAATTTTTAATAAAAAAAAAATCAAAAATTTTTGAGCGTCGGCTTACTTAATTTTTATATCTAAAGATTAAGTATAACTTTTCTTCTTGAAATTTGAATTTTACACAATTTATATATATATATATATATTTCACATTTGTGTGTATTTGTATATCTATATTCACAAATATAGGTATACAAATACATGGAATGATCATATACTAGTACATGATCATATATTGGGGCTTTTACCTTACTAAAAAAAAATCATCGATCAATAACAGTATTTTTTATTTAAAAATGCTCAAAAAAATAAAATCAAGTATAGTATTATTATATACTTATAGATTTTACTTAAATTGAATTAATTTAATCTTCAGATAAATTCTATTGTAATAATCATCATCTAATATTTCAAAAATATTTTTTTAAGAATCATTTATTTATTTCTTTATTTCAACGCGACTCGGCAACATTATAATAAAGTTTACAACAGAATAATAATTATATAAAAATTACAATACCCAGATAAAGATTTCTTCTTAAAAATAAAGGAATTAAGCGAAATAAAATAAAATTACCTTATTAAATAACTCAAATTGTATAATGATCAGTATTTTACTATTTTACAGAATCCAAGAATGTTAATTTTAATAAATGATGTAAATTCAGCATAAATATCAGTTAAAATCCCCATGTTAATTAAACACCGAAAGAATTTATTAAGAAATTAACGTCGGAAGAATGTATTACTCGGGGATAGAAATAGAAGTGAAAAAATAAAATAATAAAAGGTAAGAATTAGTGAAGATAATAATAAAGCGCTTGAAGAAAAGTTTAAGAGTACGCGTGTGTTTACTTCTTTGCACACTTTTCTTATTTGTGATTTCTTATTTACATTCCTGAGATCTTTGGATGTGCAGTGTAAAATGTGCAATGACAGTGCACGTTACCTGCGAATTTAAAGAGAGTCTAACTATTTTACCAACGTACATTACACATTTCACAGCCCACAGTTAAGTACGGACTTTTACTGAAAAAACCAACTCGAGATTATTGTATTGTACAAGTTTTATTTGGCCTTGACGTTGTTGCTCTTTCAAGGTTTGCAAACATGCTGAAAATTACTAATATATTTATTGTTAATTTACATATTATATCCAACTCGGAATATAATTACACTACATATGCACTATCATTCTTTATTTTTATAGTTATCGTAATTGAAATTTACATTTTTGAGACTTTAATTTTATCACAACATTAATACGCATGTAAATGATATTGATAAGTGAAAAAAATATTGCAGTTTTAAAAAAATAAATTTTTACGTAACTAATATTCAACGAAAATTTTTTCTTCTGATATATCGGAAGATCGTTGAGCGAGAATTTATTTATTAAAAAAATTATTTTTACAATTTAATTATAAAATATTTTATAAATTTTTATTCTCTTTTTGAAATTCAATCAAAATTTATAAAAATATAAATTTATTAATGATTTTAACTTTTTAAAATATATATTATTAAGAGAATGAGCGAAATTTTGTGACCAGTGTATTTAAATGATAAAAGGGGTTTTATGATTAAATATAGTATAATTGGAAAGGTCTTTAATTATTAGAAAGATTCTTATCATTCCCACCAATAGTCAATTTATGATAATAAGTATTTAGGTTGCATTCGAAAATGCTCTATTTCTAGATACATAGTTAAGAAATGACCCTGTATCTCGTGAACTATTGACATTTTTAAAGATATAAGCTCATTCTGATGTTACACTCATCAAGACCTTTCATTTGAGTACCCACATCAATTTTTCATATATTTTATATATTTATATATATTTTACAAATACCATATATACATATATAAAATATATAAAAATTGACATGTGGGTACTTAAATGAAAGGTCTCAATGAGTGTAACATTGGGATGAGCTTATATCTTTAAAAATATCAATAATTAAGAAATTACCTTTTATCTTGAGAACTATTGACATTTTTAAAGATATAAGCTCATCCTGATGTTACACTTATTGAGACCTTTCATTTGAGTACCCACATCAATTTTTCATATATTTTATATATATGTATATATGAAAAATATATAAAAATGCATGTGGGTACTCAAATAAAAGGTCTCGATAAGTGTAACATCGGGATGAGCTTATATCTTTAAAAACGTCAATAGTTAAGAAACTACAGTTCAATTTAACAAAATTCATTATTTAATAAAGTAAAATTTTATTTATTTATAGTTCATAAGTCATGGCAGTCACATAGTGACTGCATTTGCTCGTAGCTATATAAATGTATACAACATTTTTTTTTTAACTTCCCGCTAAAAATCTCAGATTTTTAAAAATCGGGAAGTTATTGGTTTTACCCCGTTTTTCGAAAATCGAGTTTTCATCAGATCTTGACGTTTTGAGGTCCTAGGAAGCTTCCCTGACTATTCCCGCGAGGGTGTCACTATGTCTGTATGTATGTGTGTGTGTGTGTGTGTGTGTGTAAGTATGTAAACCTCTTATAACTTTTGAACGGTTGAACCGATTTCATCGCATTTGGTGCCATTCGAAAGGGCTTCACTAAACTTAGATTTCCTGAAAATTTGAACCGATTTGGACCGATAGATCTTGAGAAATTTAGAGAAATCTCCAAAAAAATAGGAAAAAAAATTTTTTTCAGAAGTGGTTTTTTTGGAATAACTTTTAAACGGCTCTACCGATCGATTTCAAAAACTTATCAGCTCTCAACCTTAAAAAACCACGTTGATTGCCGCCAATCCGGTCAAAATCGGTTGATTCGTTCAAGAGATATCGTGAACGAAAAAAAACTGAAAAAAACCGAAAAAAGTGTTTTTTCGGAATTACTCCGAAATTTCTAGTTTAACCAATTGAAACTTAAGAATTCTTTATGAGGCTTAAAAAACTGCGTAGAATGCCCCCAACTGCGTAAAAATCGGTTCATTCATTCAAAAGTTATTGCGGTTTGAAAATTAAAAAAATAGTGTTTTATCAAACTTCTATCAAATTTTTGAGCTCGAAGAGCTCAAAAGCATACAAAAGCTATTTTTTTGAGCTCGGAGAGCTCTAAAACGTCATAAGTGCGATTTCAAGCGTTTAGGTATAGAATTGGCGGGAAGTTGCAGAGATGGCCTTTAGGGTCAACCGTATTCCTAATTTTTTTAATTGATAACAAAGAAGAAAAACACTTGCAGGAATTTATCAATTTTTTTAAGTTTTTTTCATACATTTGTAAAATTATAATTATATATAATTTAAAAAAATACTCAATAAACCACGAGAAAATTTTTCTATTTAGAATTCAAATGATTGGATTTTTAATTTTTCAAAAAGAGCGTAATTTATTTATCAAATGATAACCTTGAAGTCTTTAATTTATTTTTAAAAATATTTGAACGATTTTTACTGTAACCAAAATGTGAAAAAAGCATCAAATACTTGAGAATCTGTGAATAACTTCACGAATAATCTAAGAGATTATGTCTGCAGAAGCTGGAGAAAGACATTCCGTTCTGCTAATCTACTTCGTGGAATGCGAATCCTACGTAGTCATTTATTTTATTTTGTTGCATTTTCCGTCAAATTACTCGAGTTATTTTTGTAATTAAATAATTTAAAATTAAATAATTACATATTGAGTTTTTATTGAAATTTCACAAAGAATTTGAACAATAAAAGATAACAGGCCGCATATATATTAGATTAAAAATTTCTAAATTTAAAGCTCAACATATTCATTATTAGAATAAAAAATAAAAGCCATGAAAATAACAAATTAAATAAAAAAATAGCTTTAATTGATAATAATAAATCATTCGAAAGTTGTCATGGTGAAGTTCGCGTGCGCTTTACGCGAAACATTAAATAATTATCTCGGGTATAATTCAATAATTTTCTGGGAATTATAAATTACAACTTGGAGAGACAGTTGTTATTATTATTATAGGTAGTTATCCCCAGTGTCATTAGCGACGTTTGTCAGTCACCTACTGTAGTGTGTTGCTTTGTACCGTAAATTTTATTTTATATATAATTATAATGATAAAAGAATAAGAATGTTTTAGGTATCTTAAGCTCTGTTTCACTTTACACGCTCTTTTATTTTCATCTAGGTCTATTCTTGTTTCCTAACAGTTTATAAAGATGCTACGATGCTCTAATAACAATAATAATGTTCCGCTGAAATTCTTACGGGATAAGTGCATCTAAT